ATCCCGTTTAAGCCACTAAATTAGTTAAGTCCGGTTATACATACAACCGCGAACAGCACATGTTGTCCCTGAGCTCCGTAACGACATCTCTCATAAAGATTTGCGTCTTTAAATAGTAAAATAATTCTCAGAAAAACAGCTAGCCTCTTCGCTAACTAACACACAAAATACCATTGGAATGCTACTTCCGCCGCGTCACCGGAAGTTTCACCCACTTTATTTTTTACAGGAGCGCCCCTCGGAAACTTGTGGATACCCCATTTCCCTATGATATATGTACTTACAAGGCATTTGCCCATCGGCAACTATAGTTGCCGCTTGGACTTTTAACTAAGTATATAAAAAACTATAGATCTATTGTAAGATTTGTTTCGTTTAGAGGAGTCTTGAGACCCTCATGATTATGTAGATATATATATGTCAACAAAAAATACTTATTAGTAATATGAAAATTAGCTTTCTTTGGGAGGGTTTGCCTTCGCCATGCTTCCTGGAAGTAGGGGTAGGAAGTTGACAACCTCATGTGACAGGAAGGAAGTGAATACCTTTTTTTTTCTCTTAAAATCCTTTATTTGGTTGTTTCCTTGCATGACATTGAGACATACAACATGGATAACATCTAGAAAAATACTTCCACAAGGAAAATGACAACTATACACTGCGGCAACTATAGTTGCCAGTGGGCTTAAATGGGTTAAAAAATCTAGCGTTAATTGGATCTCAGACAGTTTCATTAAAAGTAGTTATTACTCCACCACGAGTGAGACGTCACAAACCAACGTGGTTGAATGATACTTTGCGACAATAGGTTTTGGGAAACAGTCGTGACAAGCTAGTCGATTTCTCCAACGATGCATCGTACTATGGTAGTGAAGCAGCGAGTTACTGTACTACCATAGTTGTAAGGGAAACGCACCCCAGAACCATTGGATACAGAATCAAGAGTTTACTTGCTTACAAAATGTGCTACTAACAAGAGAGCACAAGTGCTTAGCTAAAGAGAGTTTCTTCAGTCTGTAACTGAAGTTGCCCTCAAGATTGCAAAAAAAAAGGATTTACAAGTTTGTTGGGTTTTTTTTTCATGAAGATTATTTAAATTTCACAGTTATACAATATATACATTTTTATTTAAAATAAATACACATGAGTACATTTAAATAGTCCTATTTTATTTTATTGAAAAAAATTGTACTGACTGTAGTATATGATCTGCCCAGAATATATACAGTATATATATATATATATATATATATATATATATATATATGTATATAGAGACGTCATTTCCTATAGGGACAGGGGGGACATGTCCCCCCACTTTTTAAAATCCTGTTTGTGTCCTCCCTACTTTCAAATTCATTTTATAATTTTTAACTAAAATTAATTAAGTCACCTAGCAGTTGTTTCTGTCGTTTCATCGACGATTGTGTTGTGCCGCATGCAATACCTGCTCATTAGAACTTTCAGTGAGCTATTTTTAGAGTGTGCACGGCACGCAAAGTTCCTGGACGTGGACACAGCGCATTGACACAGGCTCTACTAATAAAGATACTAATACTAATAACTAATAAAGTTATTAGTTGAACATCTTCGTATGCTGTCTGTGAATGAATGATTCCACAGGACGATACCTTCGATTTCATTTCATTCAGGTAATACATTTACAACCAAACAGATAGCACTAAAAAGTAGACTATGACATTATCCGGTTTTTAGACATACATTAATTTATAGACTACAAAAAAAAAAAACGCTTCAGAGCGTCGGCGCACTGGTTAAATAAGCTACCATTGTCCACTGTTTATGAAATGAACACCCGCCATCCCGCGGTAACGTGTATTGTGCAGTGGCATAATGACACACAACGCATTCTCACCCCAAGGCGTCACCTTTGACCATGCTTCAATATTTGACGTTTTAGGCGCCCTTTAGCGTCACTTGATCCTACGGCGTCCTCTAACTGACGCTAAAGGAAAGCGTCAGTTAGAGGACGCGGTTAGGTTTAGGTGTGGGGTGGGGGTAGGGTTACACGCGATCCTAGGGCGTCATCTAACTGACGCTAAAGGGCGCCTAAAGCGTCAGATATTGAAGCATGTCCAAATGCTTCCCAAGGCGTCAGTTAAGTGACGCCTTGGGGGTGAGAATGGGCTGTGACACAAGACCCCATTTACACCTGATATTAAAATGTGATCTGTATCTAGATAAGTTTTCCGGATAATAAAAAATGCATGTTAATGCAAGGTGTAAATGCGTTGTGATCGGATTGTGATCGGATCTGCCGTCTGGCTCGTATCCGGATCTTTACTAGGTGTAAACGCAATCTGGTTGTTGAAACCACATATGTATATACCAAAAATGCTAAAAAATAAACGAGTGAGAGCGTGTTATATAGCTATATGTCATGTTATAGTCAGATATGACGGCGCTACTGCGACACGCACCGCAGATGAGCAGCTGCATCTATTTATCAAGCCAACGTGCAAACATCGCAAATAAAAGTGAAAGTAATTCACAGACGCTTAATACACAATCATCTTCAAGTAAAGAAACGAAATTATCTTACCAGGGCTGTTGCCCCTCTCTCTTATTGATGTCTTTGATTTGGAAATTAGCTGATGATCAATAAAATGCAGCTCATATCTGTTGATTTTGGTGGCATGCAATCCATTAAATCTGCATATAACGTGGGAGTTAAAGATTGGATTTATATCCGTTTTGCAAAAACACATTTTTGTGGCCAGGTGTAAATGGAATCGGTACTTACTATCCGGATAACTTATCTGGATACAGATCGCATTTTAATACCAGGTGTAAATGGGGTCGAGTAGTTTACATTGATTGAAACTAATTTGTTTAAAAAGGAGGCTAGTGCAGTAACAAGGCAGGTTCACAGAAAATCATTATGATATGATGCCATTATTTTTTAATGTAACAAGCATTGGCGATGCAAAAACGCACTGTCGTGCATATTGTTTATAATTTTTTTTTTTTTTTGCATTTTTTTTTTGTTCGGAAATTTAGACATCGGGCCTCATTTCCAAGTTAGCCTTAGTTTTATTTATCAGTTAAGACAGTTTTAAAAAATTTCATCCAGTCATCCCAGTTACATAGTTCACCGGTGCTAGGCTAGCTCGAGTCAACGGTAACTTTTAGCATGCCATCAAAATAGTTTTACCCACTCCACAGTACACCAAAATCAAATCAATTACAACGCCAGACTATCGATGTAAGTGTCTGTTGAGAGAATAATGTTAGAAATCAAACTACCCTTTTCATCTCAAGGATTGCATTACATTTACAGGAACTAGTTTCTCAGTAGTGGCAGATTTTTACTTCACTCCGGTTAGTAGTAACGTTACTGCATCAAAAAGTAAACACAGAACAGAAGCGTATGACAGTCGGGATGTCTAGCTAGCTTAGTAATAATTGTTGAGGTAAACGAAGGCAACATGCTGATTCGGCAAGAACAAACCTAATAAGTGTTCATCGCAAAGTTTTCACAAATTTCCTTTTGAAGATCCAGAAAAGATTCAACTTTGGATTATTTCTGCGGGCTTGGATAAGAAGACACCGGCAGAGACTCAAAAAAAATGGGGATTTGCAGTGATCATTTTAGACCAGACGACTTTAAAGAACCATTTAATCGAAACATAGGTAAAACAATATAACTATTGCAATGTGATGAAAGGGTAGTTTGATATCTAACATTATCTAACACTCAACAGACACTTACATCGATAGTCTGTCTTTATAATTGATTTGCATTTGGTGTACTGTGGAGTGGTTAAAACTTTGTGTAATGGCATGCTAAAAGTTACCGTTGACTCGCGCTAGCCTAGCACCGGCGAACTAGGTAACAGGGACGACTAGATGATTTTTTTTTTTCAAAACCACTGATAAATAACACTAAGGCTCACATGGAAATGAGGCCCGATGTCCAATCTAAGTCCTGTTCTTTGTCATGGGTTGTGTGTAGTAAATCCAGTAAAGATATGCATGATGCAGAATGGCCAACGGAACATGAGATTTAATAAAAACGGAGAGTGACGGAAAAATACACATCTAGTATAAACTTGAACACGGAGCACTGAACTGAAGAACAGAGGGCTTAAATGCATGAGAGCAGCAATCCAAGAAACAAGGAATAGGTGTGCACTAATCAGAAATCATAGTTACCGGCTGCTCACCGCTTAGGAGTTTTACCGCCCCCTACCGTATAAGATGATGTGCTGATATAGCTGGAAGCGCAAAACTTTCTGTTTACAAGCAGAGGAAGATGCGCGCTGTACATACGCTTTTCAATTTGCGTATTTTCCGCACTATAAGGTGCACATAAAAGCCTTTAATCTTCTCAAAAAACGACAGTGTTCCTTATAATCCGGAGCGCCTTATATATGGATCATCATTTTATACGGTAGGTGGCGCTAATACTCCTAAGCGGTGAGCAGCCGGTAACAAGAAGTAGAAGAATGAGAACGTCCTCGTCTCAGTTCTCGCGCATCCGCCCATAAGGAAGTAATGGAATAGTCGAAAAAAGTCGTTATTTATGTTTTTTTCGCACAAAAAGTAGTCTCGTCGCTTGATAAACTTATAATTGAGCCGCTGTAGGCACATGGAATACTTAAACCTTTTTTTTTTAATGACTTTATGGGCCGTCAAGAGCCAGTCCCTTAGGCAGTCTATCTAGGACTGATCGAGCTCTCAGATTCAATCAAAAATATCTTTATTTGTGTTCCGAAGATGAACGAAGGTCTTACGGGATTGGAACAGCATGGGGGTGAGTAATTAATGACTTAATTTTCATTTTTGGGTGAACTAACCCTTTAATAAGAAATGAGTTGATCGTGACAATGAAAACCAAACTGAATAGAACATGACAATGAAACTATTAAACTAAACAAGACATGATAATGAAACTAAACATGACATGACCTTGATGTATAAATACCTATAAGCAATATGACCAGGCTGGTTTATACACTCTGAATACTGATACTCACCATGAGCGACCCATCCATGCTTGCAATGGTCACATGTCCGGAGGTGGATTTTTCCAGGCTGGAAACACTCACATGTGCAGTTTACCAGAGTACAGCGGATGGCCTGAAAATGAACGAGCAAATTATCATCATTTAAAGATTCTTAAACTGTTTCACTTTAAATTCTAACAATAGCAGGGATTATTAGCCTATCCTGTATTTGACCTTACTGATTCCTTAATGCATTTAACAAATTCAATTTGTTGAATTATGCAATCTTTCTGTTAAAGACAACATTCCTTGCAATAAATATTGTACCAAATATGTTTTTCACTTAAATAATATTGTAATTATCTAATGAGAATTGTCTTAAACGAATGCAGTCACGCTCATGTCACACTGTCATGCTGACTGACATTGTACTAACAAGCATCCATTCAGTGTCTTGTGCCATTTTCATATAGGGGCATTTAGATGAGCTCTTCCTTCTTCTCACCTGAAACATGGCCTGCTTTTGCCACATTTGAATTTCCTTTGTTTTGACAAAAGCTGCCATTACTTGATGTGGAGACTGAACCGGATCTGACCCTAAAAGCTTTTAGCGATGAGGGGTTAAGTGTCCCAACGAGACAGTCAGCCTGGCAGGACAACACAATGGCATTGTGTGATAAGACATCTCCTTAATCACTACACCACAGAAAAGACTCCGGCAGGAAGAGAGGAAAGGTGGGGAGGCCACATTGTTCATGTTTTCTCACACCTCTGCTGTCAAGGTTTTTCATCAGATGAATTTAAAAGTGAAATATTTGTTGTTGTTGTTTTTCCGTCTTCCTGATTCTTATCTTTTTCAACGTTGCGTAACTGCATTTTTTTGTGATTTTGTTGTGTCCAGTATATGTCCATGTTACCCATTATGTTACTAATTAATTATAAGTGATAAATCCTAGATATTACATTAAGCCATCAGAATAGTTAATCAAAAATGCTGTGTTATCTTTGGTACAGCAAATGCAAATATTAAAATGCACAGGAAATAATAATAATAAAAAAGAATAAAAATAAAAATAATTAAATAAATGAGCAATAACGGTTACATTATAGGCTATGATGGGGGAAAAAATAATTACTTTGTATGTCACATGGAATAGCTTTGCTAAATTCAGTTCAGTAGCTGCCTGGTTTGTTTATTTACTATCCGGTTGGGTAATTTAAAATCGGCTATTTGCAGAAAAAAAAAAACTCTGAATCAATAATTTAAACAAAATCGTTGCTGCTATGACATCAGTTTACAAGCCAGGCTGACTTGGTCATTTGGTCTAAACATCTGGGCATTTGGTCTAAACATGTATGATTCATTGAAGAATGAGAGAGATTGTATCAGAGAGAGAGAGAGATGAAAAAAAAAAACAGAAACATCAAATGTGGGGTCTGACAACTTATGTGAAAATTAATTGTTCAATTAAATAATTAAAAGCTCAATTAGGAGCTCAATTAACAGCTCAGCGGTGTCAGTGCAGTATAGAACAGCTCAAAGCAAACTTCACTCCATTATACTATGAGGAGACCTCAAACTATGTATGATTATAGGCCAAACCTGTAGCTCAGATTCTAAAGCATTATTCAACCACCTCTATTGATTCCTGTGTTTGTAACATTTACACCTAGCACACACACACACACACACGCACACACACAAACAGACCAACTTTGCTGACGCCAGGTTGCTGGCAAACACTAAAAGCATCACTGCCCACCCACAAGATTTGATTTTATTCAAGGCTTAGCTTTCAAAACTCTGTTGATATCCTGCCATAAATGTACAGGCAAGGTATGAAGGAAAACATATAACAAATAAAAACAGACAGTGCACAATGAAAGGCTTTAACGAAAAAAAATAAAATAAAAATCTCTTAGAATTGGTTTTATTGAGATTTCTCTGTATGCACGCAAGACCCACATCCGATTTGTCTGCATATGCATAACGTGTGTATTCGTTTATAAAGTTTATGCATTTATGCATTTGGATTGACAATGAAACTAAATTAACGCACTGGCAGTAGATCTAAAATTTGAACCCTCTTATAACTTTAGAGAGGTAGCCTACATATATTTTAACTCCTGTAAGCCTTGGATGTCGACGCACTGAATCATATTAATTTGTATCAGGAGTTATGTAATGAAAAAAAATGTGACGATAGATACCTTTAAAATGAACTATAAGCATCAGCCACTTCCATTCAAAAAACAATGCACATTTAGTCCAGATATAGGAACACATGAAGAAGAGCCATCATGTGAAAAGTGGGGCCTTTCTCAATCTGTGTTCTTGTCTGTACTTGTGCCCTTGTGTTCTTGTGAAACATCATCTTTTTTGGCCCACGTACTGTCCCAATACACAAGTTTGCATTTTAGCAGGAACGGTTAAAAATCCAAGATGTGTTCTTGACACACCCATTTTACCAGGATGCATCGGTTGGTAACTTGTGTGAACTAACAGAGTTTCATCCCAAGACGTCACACAGCTGACACTTTTGACCATACGTCAACATCCGCCATTTTAGGGTACCCTTAAACGTCGATTAGATGACGATCCTGGGGCGTCATCCAACTGACGCTTTACCTTTAACGTCAGTTAGGTGACGGGGTTGGTTTAGGTCTGGGGTAGGGTTAGGATTACATAACGTCTTCTAACCGACAATTAAGGGTACCCTAAAATGGCGGATGTTGACGTAGGGTCAAAAGCGTCAGTTGTATGACGTCTTGGGATGAGACTGCGCTGTGTGAACTTGACGACAGAAAAATCCCATCATTCAATTCAGCATTCGAGGAAGGTCAATACAGTAATTAGTTGTTCTACAATTACGTACACTATTTCATCACTAATTTCACTCCTGAGAACATTTGATGCGACATTTGAATCAACTGTGTAGATTTCAAATATTGTCATTTTTATGAATATTTCTGGCGAATTTAAAATGTGCTCAAACGTTTTCGGAAGTGAGAATCTCCATAAGCGCCTACGGGTGTTAAGTTAGCTAGCGAGCCAACTGGCCAGTTTGCTCACAGACTCGTTTTACTCCATAGTCAAGAGAACATTGCAGCCTGGCTGTTATCATCAATAATTCTCATTTTGTTTGGGTACTGTAGATGGTGTCTGTGCGGGGGTATTATTGCGTAGTAGCAGCAAGAACACATTGTCTCAAACTGTCAGCAGCGTTCTGTGTGCTTGTCACCAAGTGCGTTCATTCTTCCAAAAACAACAATTAGTGTTCTTCCCAAAAACACAAGTCCGTTCTTTGCATTCTTGGTTTTGAGAAACACCCATGGTTGCAATCTGCCATAAAACAGAAAAGAAGAAGAAGAAGAAGAAGAGCCATTATGTGACATTCCAGAAAGTCTCTGACACAAACAGCTGAAGATGTTTTGAAGACAATAAACATGATTGCAACGATATGTGATTTATCTGTGTTCTTCTAGCCATGTTGGGTATTTGATTATATTTATACTGCTAATATAGAGTAGACTTAATCAACGTGCAGAATACTATAAAAAGAATATATATTTTATGTCCGATTTTTTATTTTTTTTTATCCGAAGCCAAATCAGATCACAGAAGGTTATTTAAAACACTTTACTGGCATAATAAAGTAAGTTTGAAGCAAAAACATGGTTTTAATCTCATAAATTGTTGTATATTGATGGTGTGCTAAGCTAATATGCTAGCTAGACACAGATGCACATGCCACGTAACGTTAGCTGTTTTTATTTATTTATTTATTTATTTATTTTTATAATGAAAAATTCAATAGTTAAATAGGATTGCTTACTGAAATGTATATTTGAAGAGTTCAGATGCAAAAGCCTCTAAATGCCATTTGAAAACTTTTTTCTTTAATGATGATTTTTATCAAACTTGTATATTTAAGTTCAGTAATTTCACTTAAATAACAATTAATAGGTAATTATCATTGCCATTTAAGTGAAATTACTGAACTTATATATACAAGTTTGATAAAAATCATCATTAAAGAAGAAAATTTCAAATGGCATTTAGAGGCTTTTGCATCTGAACTCTTCATTTTCAAGAAGGGAATTTGATACAGTTTCTAATGTGAAGTGAGACCTTTGATAAAAGAAATGAGGGATTGGAACAGCATGAAAAGTCAATCATTAGTAATTATGATGAAAACAAAACAAAAGAATATTTAGAGCCATAACCAGGCCGGAGAGTTGTGATTGTTTGCAGGGGAGACTGAATGGGGCTCGTTTGCACCACAAAACAATAGAGACAATAGATGAATGGATGCTTAGAAGATAAACATCAGTTTGCACGTTAATCTCATGTTAAATCAAAATTATCATGACATGATCTTGAAAATCATTTAACTAAATACAGAGTTAAATTAAAAGCAACATAAACATGTCATTTATTCACTATGTCAGCATTAAAGGATTTGTAAACATATTGAATGGCATGTGTAAACAGCGTTACAATTCACATGTTGATATTATATGTTTTAGTGTCAATTCAAACATTCAGCTAATGAAATCACACTGGACAGGATTGGTTGTCTTTTCCATTTCTTTCTTTCTTTCTTTCTTTCTTTCTTTCTTTCTTTCTTTCTTTCTTTCTTTCTTTCTTTCTTTCTTTCTTTCTTTTTTTCTTTCTTTCTTTCTTTCTTTCACATTTATTACAATAGGCATTATAAATATCGTTTCCTTAAAAAATGGATGACGCATCATTTTAAAAAAATAAATATTTATTTATGAATTTTAAATATGAATTTTCTCCATGCTTTGGCCTTTCTATGTTTTACTCAGTGGGACTGCATTGGCAACTGTGATATTATTGTAGTGAAACAGTCTGCCATTGACCTGAGGCCTGAACTTTGTTTTCATGGCACAGGCTATATACATTTACATTTACTCTTACATTTATTCATTTAGCTGACGCTTTTATCCAAAGCGACTTACAATTGCTAAATATGTCAAGGGTCGCACACCTCTGGAGCAACTAGGGGTTAAATGTCATGCTCAGGGACACATTGGTATCTCACAGTGGATTCGAACCTGGATCTCTCACACCAAAAGCATGTGTCTTATCCACTGCGCCATCAACACCCA